ATAGACGATTGTATTCCGAGTATAGTTCTTACTGCATTAATTAGTTAGCTAGGGATAGTCCCTAGGAAACTCTGTAATGCAGTAAGAACTAGGGATAGAATTGTCTATTCCTGACAAACCCTGTAATGCTGTATGGACAAGGGATACAATTGTTTATCCCCACAAAGTCTAAAATGCAGTACAAACTAGAAATACATTAGTTTATCCACCAGAGATAGACTTGTTAAGCTCCTCAAACTCTTTATAATGTATGAACCATTCATACCGACATACATTCGTCCACCCAGCATAATCTTAATAATATATAGATCAGAGTCTGTCTGGTTTCCAGTGAGTTTTCTTATATTTTCATGATGGCCTCAACGGACCTTTAACTCAGTTCTGCGTTTTGATACGAAAATCCCACAATTTTCTAAAATCTAAATACATGTATTGTGATATTTAAAACTTGCAATTTGAAACTAGCAGAGTTTCATCTAATGTTAATTGAAAACTGCCTCAGTAAATATATCGTTTTCCAGTTTCGCCTCATTCGAATTTTTGTTGTTAAGAGTTGGAATTATATGTTTTAATGATTATTTTAGACTAGGGCTTTAAATTGCAGGAATTCGATTCCAGCTTTTCATTAGAGCTATGTTGCTTGTGAGTATTTCATTTATTTCTATTTTTGTTATAAATGTTCACATGTATATTTCTTAATGGTAACTTGGTGCTTATTTGAGGAAAGGAAGTACTTCCACTCCAATAAATACTATTTATTTTTTGTTGTAAGAGGTCGTTGTTGACTTACAACCAATGTCATTTACAAGCTTCTTAGGAGCTTTGAGTGTTGATTTCTAACTAGTCTGGCGTTTCTTGTCAAGTTGTAATACATTATTTATCTAGCAATAAATGGATTTAAGGCAATTCTTCTCAGGGGGCGCTTTATTCCTTCCCATTAAACAAAAAACAATTACTGAACGTAAAAAAGACTGCATATGCAGTACACACACCCTCATGAAGCGCAGTGCGCCACCACTGTTCACCTGCTCATGTTGTACACAAACAATGCGCGATACCCAGTCCATGAGCATAGTATGGCGTGCGAAGTTAACAATTAATCCGCGTAAACAGATATCTCTATTCCTGATAGAGATATCTCTATTAGGGGAATAAATGTTAACTTGGTACGTCTCGGAATAGAGATATCTGTGTACGCGGATTAAATGTTAACTTTGCACGCCATACATGAGTCTTTATGGAGATCAACGGTTACAACATTTTACACTCACAATACGCGCGAGCGAGGCACTGCACCGCTGTAGTGGTTTCTTATGCCGGTTGCTAGATTCATATGAACACCAAGTAGGGTAGGTTGGACTGTATTTCTGATGCACAAAATTTCACTAACAGTATAAACATAAGGAAATAAAGCTCAATTCAGAAAGTAAAATTAATCCGGCTGCTTTTTATACTTTATTACGAACGACACACTTGGGCCTCACTTGGGCGAACAGTGGTTCTGTGTGCAGTTTTGTGACTTTTCATGCATGCAGAGGCTTTATTCAAGGGAAAGCCAGGTTTGATCTTGTTT